TCACTATCATCTGAATCCCATTGGCGTACTCGCTTACCCCCATGCATTGCCTTGCGTGATACAAACATTCCAGGCGGCAACTCATCTCCTTGTCTGTGAACTATTTTCTCAGGTTTGTTTTTGAATTCGGACTATGGACAATCATCGGCCCTAGTAAACAGACTGAATATGTGCTAACATATACAATCGATATCTGTTTTTCAACGGTTGACCAGAATAAGCGACTAGTCCAATGAACCAGGGTGCATTGTACGTGTTTTATTGAGGAATTGGTGACCTATGACGTTATAGTAATCATGCCCAGCGCAACCCACGTCCCCGTACACCGAACTATTACAGGATCGCGGTTCCCACTGTCACTGTAGCATGTGTCAAATCAAACCCTTGAGAACAAATAGCAGTTTGCCGTGACCAACTGGCACATTAATGTTGTCTCTGGCGATGAGTTCGAGCGAGAATCCGAAATATCAAGCGGTTACATTTTCTCCTTCTGAACGACGGACATTGTCCGTCATGCAGTCCTCGGCTCGAACCTTAAACGGGTGCACCGGCTTCTGCCTTCAAGTGCAAGTATTACGGAAATTTACTCCTCCTTTGAGTCTCTCAGCATCTGACGATCCACGCTCAATCGCATCTGTGGACTGTTGAATGAATTTGACTACGGTAAGCGGCATCGAGAGGGACACTTTCCTTTTCAACGACAATCTGAGCCCTGCGTGTACGCGTTTTGGGAGTTGTAGAGACTTATTTCCCATACATTTCGAAGGATGAAACACAAGACGCGTAATATCAACAGGATATTAGACTTCATAAGCGGCAACTTTGTCCCCTGTGGCTTTTAAACTGTAAAAGTCTCTTTTTTCTAAATAATTTAGGAGCCCGGTGCAATATCATATCCTTATTTTGTCTGATGTTTCGAACTGCTACACGAGTCTAGCACTAGAAAATTAAAACAGTGTAAGAAATTATCTATGCATAGAGACTTTCAAGGAAATCGAACGCATGTAAATGCGCCCCGAAACTCCCTAGATATTAAGAGATACTACGTATTTTTGAACTATTGCCGACTATCGCCTTGTTGGTATCCTAGCTGTCGTCTGATCGACTGATCTAGGAAATTCGTAGTTTTTTGTGTATTTTCCATTCCAGATAGCTGTAGGTAGAAGCTGAAGGGCCATCACCGGTTACTAACGTCAGTCAGTTCTGCCGTCCTGTGGACACCCTACTTTCCTAAATTTGAATAATGATATGAATACAGTAGACCTTTTTTTTCTTGT